GGGGTAAGCTTATAAGTGGCCAACACATCTAGCGCTTGTAACATGCCTTTTAGAATTTATTTTCATTGTATTTTAATTACACTACTAAGTTGCCTTTTATCATGCTGTGACAAGGGCATAGACGGTCACGGGCTGTATATTTATTCCAAAAATAAGATAAACGTATAATTAAACCTGGTCATTGTTTTTTGTGTTCAGATATTTTCTAAAATAAAACTCCCCCACCGTGTTTACAACACATCCTACAATTTCATTTACCGTAGTTTAAGTAGAACTTTTATTATTTGACAGATGTTGTAATGATAAAATGAGACCCCCCCCTCTCCCACTCACACATACAAAAACAAACAAACAAACAAAGAAGAATTAAAAAGAGAATGTCAATTAATGCACTCAAAAACTGGACTTATAAGTGTTTAATTCTCTAACCTTAACGCTTTGTGCCGACGTCTATCTTATGATGAACACTGTGTCTAGTTAAAGAAATTTAGTTTAAACTGTCAAAGTGCCGAATATGAAGTAGAACAGAAAAAATATTTTTGACAACTATATCAGCTGTTTCAACGGATAACAACAGCAGATAAAAACGTAACATTCATCGAACGGGAACAGTCAAATCGTCGCTAATCCTCGCGATATGTAGGCCCAAGGGTTGAGGTTGCTGATTTGTTCATCCGATAAGATAACGGGCACAAGCTTTAATTGTACAATGACCTCTGCACGAGATAAAACAAAATTATGCTGTTCAAACACTGGTAAGCTTTAGGTGGCACGGACTGTTTTACTTTCTGACCGTGCTATGATATTATACATTTTACAGCACAGTCTATAATTTCAGGTAACAGAAAAAGACCCCTTTGCGTAAAAGTATAACAAAAATGAAACGAAATAGGCCATGTATTACTTTCTTGCAATAGGCTAGGGTTATCAATACCTGTTATTTAATAGGAGGGACCGATTTTGAAATCCACCAGGGAAAGGACCAAGCCGAGATGGAAAATTCGTACGCACGTTTACCAAAAACTCAATGTCGGACCGAGTGTTATGCTGTTATATGGTGTGTGTGTGTGTGTGTGCGTGTGTGCGCGCGCGTGCGCGCGCGTGTGTGTGTGTGTGTGTGTG